GGAGAAAAGGGGGGGAGGGTCAAAAACACAAAGAACAAAAAGATGAGGGAGGGACGAGCAACGAAAGGCCAAAGAGGAGAGAGAACAAAGCTAAAGGAGACAAAATCAAACGATCCTCCCTCCCAAACAAAAGTGAAGGAAGCCGATCGAGGGTCGCTTTTCGTGGACGGGACGACTAAAGTACGTGAATTCGGTTTCTTCCCCATGCGAAAGTGACGTGAGATTTGCCGCGGAAACCTCGTGGTACATAGATATTGTAACGGTGACATGACCAATTTATCGAAATCAATTGAGTTATGCTAAACTATTTTGCCTAATCTGTTTGCTATTTGCATGAACGTAGTCTCTCTCCGCCTGCGAGTTTATGCTGCATTTGGTGGGCTGGATAAAACTCCGGATAAGATAACTTTTGTCATATCTAATGTTTGGAGTGATGCAATTTCCGGATATGACCGGATATAATCTAGATAAAAAAATCCCACCTCGGGGGTGGGATAGACCCGGATAGGATATGTGAAATTTGGAAAATAAATATTTTTCTCTGTTCCTCCCCCTCCCCCCTTCGTTTCTACTGTTCAGATCTGGCGGAGTCACGGGGAAGATGGAGTCGATTGTTCTGGCCGATGACGCCGCTGATCCATGATTGACGAGGCGTGATCTAGAGCCAAGGTCCATGGCCGAGCCACCATCTTAGTCGCAGCTGCTCGCAGTGACTGGCCATCCATGGCCGAGCCACCTCTTCGCAGGGTCCATCCCCTTCATTTCTTTGAATCCCATCCCATGCTCTCTCCTCTCTGTTTAACACACCCCAAAGATCCAGATTTGACGATCTCGTCCTTAAATGATCAACCCAGTAACTTGACATCTTCGACAAAGTGCAAAGCTGGGTTTTGTCTCGACTCCAGTTATTTATCGAAGATCCACACGATTGTCTATCTCCAGCAAAGAGAATTTCGGTTCGCCTCACTTCCTAGCAATTTTTCCGCCTACTTTTAGAGTATTGTTTTCTCTACGGAAGCTGAGTTGAGCGACAATGGCGTCTGCTTCACGGCCTCCTCCTCTGCATCAGGAGGAAGAGGGGTTGTTTTATTTCCATGGTTTATTTTTAATTTTAATTCTGCAAATCAAATATTTATTTGGATAATATTTATTTGAATCCTTATTATATCCGAACGTCAACCAGCATTGGATGGGATATTTAAAATCCTATCATATTCTATCCTTATCCTATTCGACATTATCCTATCCAGCAAAACTGTCCGAACGACCAAACGCAGCCTTAAGGTTTCGAGTTGGACACTCTAACGTGGTATAGAGTTGGAATTTACAAGTTCATTTCACGTGTAAGGCCCCCCGTTCGTCAAATTCCATGTATCATTCAAATAAGAAAGGGATAATCACATAAATAGTTCATATACTTTGACCCAATGTGTAATGTTATTCATGAACTCTTAATCTGTTCAATGCAATCCCTGAAATTTTGATAAATGTTCAATCTAGTCCTTGGACTACATGAAAATATCAAATATTATCCTTCCATTTGTATTGAACATTTTTATGTAGTTCATGGATTAAATTGAACATGCAGCAAAAGTTTAAAGACCACATTAAATAAGCTAAAAATTCGTTGATGACATTGCACATTTGTCTAAAGTTCAGGGATCGTATTGAATAAATTAAAAGTTAAAGGACGACATTGCATATTGGACTAAAATTTAGAGATTATTTGTGTTATTTTTCCAATAAGAAAAATTGAATAATAAGAAAAATTTTAAGGAAAAATAAACAAATATACTCCTTCTCGTTGATTTTTGGCTAATTAATGTTATCCATCCATAATTAACTAAACTTCAGCTAAAGTTCTTCCCATTTAAAATAATATGACCAAAAGTTGGGGGGGGGCGGGGGCGGGGGGCTAAGTGCAACTCCTTTTGGGCCCCCATCCTTTTGATGCACAAAACTTGCGATCCCCAACTTCAATGCAAATCTTTTTTTTTCCCCATTTTTCAATTTTTTTTTTAAGACTCCCTCACTTTTATCAATTCTTTTGCTTTGTAAGTCTTTTCTTTGCCTAAAGTTGTCAATTAAGCCCTCGGCCACCGTACGTGCCGTCTAATGCTAGCTATCTATAGAGCACATTCTCGATCATCAATTAGCCCACATGGGCAGCGCACCTTGGATCGAACACTAGCACTACTAAAAATAATGCTTTCGACCCTCATAATGCATCATGGTAGCTCTAGCTTTAGGGTGTAGCACAAAAATAATAAATGGATGATTCAAATTGAATTGGGGTCTAGGGTTTTGGACATTGAGATTTGAGACCCTTGATTGTTCATATAAATTCAATTTAGACACTCTCTAGTCTTCCCTAAGTTTTGGTTAAATATAGTAACAACTTATTGAGCACAACTTAGGTCTAGGCCTTAATCCATGGTCTAGATGCTTATCATTTTAATGCTTCTACACTACCTTGCTTTCTAATTCCATTTGATGGTTTTACTTTTGTTTTCTTTTAACTCCTCACATTATTCCCAGTCATTAGTCTAAAATAAATCTTAGACATGGTTAATCCTTTGTAGAGAAATTGTTGTACATAAACATTGTCCATCCTCGCTCGCTGAAAGTCTAAAGTAAGTGATCAAGACGATATATAAAGATCTAAGCAACTAATAGCTCCCACCATCATGCAGTAAAGAGTACGCATGCATGCGAGACCTGTACGGTGCTTTTTATATAAGTTTTGAGTGCAACGGCGAAAAAGATGCGGCGCAGCCGAATTTACAATATAGCGCGCGATTGTTAGAAAATTCAAAATCAAAACTTCGTCAAGATAAAGTCATACGTATATCAAAATCTCGTATCAAATGCGATTGCAGAATCTAAAATGATGCGTAAATTCAGATGGGCTTACCGATACAGATCTCGGTTGTAATTGAATCGACTCACTAATTCGTCAATCATATAGAAAAGTTATCCCAAGGTACACCCGGGCTCTAAATGGAGGGAGCAAGAAAGATGCCTTCTCAAATCAAACTTGGGATTTGGGGGTCAAATCATAAAAAAGGGAAAATTGCAAAAGAGGTGCTCTCTTACACTTGGCAAACCTTGGCCTTCCTGGTTTAAAGGAACCACTTTGTCCTCCCCTAGAAGAGAAAACAGTGGGGCTAGGCAAAGCGTGAGTGTTCTTCTTGCCTGCTTTCAATTAATTATATTTATCGAGTGACGCTTTGTTAGGAGACAAGAGTGGGGCCCGCCGCCACACCCCCACCCCGATCATTTAAAATCAAAATCGATCAGGGCCACGGAAGGAACCACGTCGGTGGGGATCAGACGGACATGCGGTGGTGGCCGCGGGCCCCGCGGGATCATCACCCCCACCACAGATTGCGTCCTCCGTCACGCGGGCGGATCCTGGACTGTCGGATCTCCGGAACCGTGGGCCGATTTGGACGTGCTTCTCTCTCGTACTGTTACGACCCTCATCATTCGTGGATTTAATCTTTTGCCCGAGTGATGCTTGACCACATGATTATCTCTCATCATGAGTACTGACTAATGCTGATAGACAAAATTCTCAAATTCTAGTACACAAAATCGATTTACTTAGCGACGCGAGAAAATTCATATCGAATGTTGACAAGCCAATCTGTTTGCACGCTCAATCAAAATTCGTGGTATAAAATATATAGCGTTGGGAAATCTAAAATTTACTGAAAGAGAGGGTGGTGAAAATTGAAGTTCGGATTAGTTGATGAATGAATGAAGTACAATCATATCGTATTGTCTATAGCGCCATCTAAGACGATGTAAAACGATATGATATCCACATAAAAAGAGAGAATCCTCCCGACCAATAGCCCCCTCACTGCTGAATAGGGCCACTAGCTCTAGGTAGGCACGGCTCACCCTTCAAGGCTCCATTAGTATCGAGTTTTAACCAACCATTCAGAGAACTCTAAGGTACCGAAACGAGATTCACTAGCTGCTTTGCTTGCCATATTGGAGGAAGTACTTCTTCCACTCGATTCTTCTCGTTCTCTTTCTTTTATTGTTTACGCGCGATATGAGCCGCACCCATCTTGTATGCGTCGGGCCGGCATCGCAGAAAACAATGTATCGACGAGTTTCACGAATTGAATTTGTTTGAATCAAATCGAACAGACGGTTTCGCGAAACAAAAGGTAGATGAATGCTAAGGCGCCATGTAGAGTCTCAACTAGACCCGTCAAAATGAGTTATAAATCCATTTCTTAACCTATATATGATAGGCTAAATTGTTATATGAGTTAATTATATGCAGAAAATGGGTCATGGGTCTAAACATAATAAGTGTGTTAAATGGGTCATAAACGGGTTGTAAACCTATTTTGACCCAACCCATCTCCATGACTCTCTCGCCCTCACTTACTCCGCACTCTCATCTTAGTTTAAGTATGAGTTTTCTTAGATTTGGTTAGATATGAAATTAATTTAACAGTACTGGACGGGTCGAATATGAATTGTGTATGAATCAAATCGGGTACGAGTCTATCTGGATCGGACCATTTTCGACCCGATCCGACCATCCTATTCGACGGGCCCAAGTCTCGACACAGCTCTCGAGCTTCCATAATATATGCTATTACGTTTAATAGCAATTCGCTGCAAAATGTGGGTGGAGAAATGTGGGGGATTTGAACAGAGGCAGCAACGAGCAAAGCAATGAAGTCACCGGAGCGAGCGAGGGAGAGAGAGAGAGAACACACAGGCTGTATTTAAAACCCCCCCGAGCCTCTCGCGCACATTCAACTTGCGCTCTCGCTCTCTCCCCCACCCCCGCTTATTCTATATGCCCCCATGCACTCTCTCTCTCTGTCTCCCTCTCCCTCTCCCTCTCTCTCTCTGTCCATGGCGCTACTGAGGCGGCGGCACCTCCTCTGGTTCTAGAGAGAGAGAGAGAGAGACAGAGAGTGCCTCTCTATTTTCTCTTCTCTTCTCTTGTCTGTGAGTGTGAGGGAGACGGGGGGGGCGGTGGTGGTGGTGTGGAGATCGCCGCATTTAATGATGAGCAGCAGTCCCTGATCCCATTCCCCTCTCTCCCCCTCCGCCATTAACGGTCACTTCCCTCTCTCTCTCTCTCTCTCTCGCCGCATATATAAGAAGCACTAGCAGCAGCAGCAGCAGCAGCAGCATTCATTCAATACAATCCTCACTCCTCCGCATTGAAAACCTCCATCTCCCTCCTCTCTCTCTCTCTCTCTCTCTCTCTCTGCGCCTGCGCGTTGAAAAGGAGGAAAGGTTCCGATCCGTACGATCCTGCCCCCGCTTTGTTTAATCCCTCCCCTTCCCTCCCCTGCATGTAAGCGCCGAAACTGATATCCCGTCCCCGTCCCCGTCCCCCCCCACCACTCTGTGTTCTTCTTTTTTTTTTCGGTCCTTGGGAGTTGTGGCGGAGTCTCTTGGAGGTACTGATTCGGGTCTTGGCCTTTTCTGTCGGTTTCTAGTCGGCGGCGGCGGCGAAGGCGAATCGGTGGGAAATGTTGACTTGCATAGCCTGTTCGAAGCAGCCGCAGCCGCTCAACGGCAGCGGATCTCGGTCCCTCCCCCAGCAAGAGGACGACGCCGATGCCGTGGGGACTCCCAGCACCAAGCACGCCATTAGGGCTCTCACTGCTCAGGTAAGTGATATGTCCCCCCTCCCCCCCTCCCCTTCTCTTCTCTTCTCTTCTCTTCTCTTCTATTTTGATTGCCCTGAGGAAATGCCCGGCGGGAGGATGTGGGGATTTGAGTATTACGGAGGTGTGCGGGAAGGGGAGGTCTTTTCGAAATGAGAAGAATTTGTCAATCTCCTGAATGAGAAAATTCAGGACTTGGTCATTGCGTCCGGGGATAATTGGAAAAACCAGCTCTCGGAATAGAATGTCAATGGAGTGGCCAAGGAAAATTTAATCTACTGTTGCATCACTCGGGCAATCGAACCGACGAGAACGAATTATGGCTAAAATTAACCGAGATCTGGTGGCTATGCTTTTCTTGTTTCCGGTTGAAGTGGAGGATATAGATCCGGTGAACGGCGTCGAAATTTTTGTTCTTTCAGATTAAGGACATGGCTTTGAAGGCTTCGGGGGCGTACAAGAATTGCAAGCCGTGTTCGGGATCGAATCACAACCACAATCAGAACTGTGCCGACTCCGAGACCGCCTCCGATCCGGCGAGACTCCACTGTCACTACCGCAGGGCGGGTAGCTTGAACTCGACCCCTAGGTTGTGGGGTAAAGAAATGGAGTCGAGGCTGAAGGGGCTTTCGAGTGGCGAGACTACGCCCGCGTCCGTGAGTGGCCGTACCGAGTCGGTCGTGTTCATGGAGGAAGAAGAGCCTAAGGAGTGGGTCGCGCAAGTGGAGCCCGGTGTCCTCATCACTTTCGTTTCATTACCTGAGGGAGGAAATGAACTCAAGCGGATTCGATTCAGGTACTTCCCCTGTTGTTTGTTGTTGTAGTTTGGTAGATGTGAGCTCATTATCTTTCCGTTGGACATGATTGGGCATGTATAATAATTCTTGTAGGGGCCTCCTTCAGTTGGATATTCTTTGATTTTAATTTGACCGGAAGCTTCATGTTGTTTGGACGTGTTACCAATGTCTATTTGTTAGTTGTACCTGGGATTTATGGAGATATTAGAAACCCTTCCGGTGGAGCTGTTCTGTTTTCCCATTCAAAATTGATAGTCTTTCTATGCTTTAAGTGACCCACTTGTTTCTGAGAGTTTTGTCGAATCGGGTAGAGAGTCATGAGCTATTTCCCTCGTCTTTTATTAGAGTGGGAGCTGCTACCTGATTACTTGGATACTATCCAGTTACCCCAATTATGAGTGCATATCACAGCTGCAATCCATACATGGCAGTTTTAGACATTCAGTAGGATCTAAAGTAGAAATTTCGCTGTCAACGCAATGAGCAGATGCCACCGTGTTGGTAGTCTTCCTCTGACTATTCTAATATCCCGACTCACCTTATTGATTAGTTTGATAGTATGGAAATACCTATGAATCAGACGGAAAACTGCATGGGCAAAGATATCGATGTTACGAGCATATATTTTATGATTCACCACAGTATCTCCCCCCAAAGTTCAGTTAGTTATTTCCTTTTCTCTTTTAGGAGGTGGGATTGGTGATGGGGGAACCAGTAGGGGGATGGGGATCACTTCTCAATGATGTTGAGAGCACATACTCTAGGCAGTTGAAATTCTCGAGGCATTAAATTCTTTCTTTTTAGGGAACACATGACTCAACCTTTCCTTCGTCATGTTCTTTCTATTTTGGGTGGGTGGGGCCTAAATTGTCATTCGCCGGTAATCCTCTTTAAAACAGAGTTTTTGCGGGTTTCATCTGGGTTCAAGACAATTTTGTTGATGCCATTCTGTAAAAACACTGTCTTATGTACTGGATGGACACTGGTTTCATGCTTCGCAACTGGTGAGCAACTTCCGCATCGAGCTCGTTCTGCCAAATGCTAATTACACGGGTTCACATATTATCTGGAGCTGTTTGTCATATATTAAGTTTCTGACTTAGAAACTGGGTAATGACAATTTCCCCTTTTCATCCTTGTCTCCTGTAATCCATTTGGTACATGTGTAATGATGGACAGATTCACCATGGGGGCAATGGGGGCACTTCCCTGCACAAAGCATTCGATAAATTAATATGGACTATGTAATATTTTGTAATCATTTGTTGAATTTGCCCCCTCATAAATACAAGTGTGTACTTATGAGGCTTGATTCAACATAGGAAGAAAAGATGATTATATTCTGTATTTTGATTTACATTGAGAATGCATGACTTCATAGAGATTGTGAAGAAAATGTAAGCTCTAAAAAATTAGGAGATAACTATTACCTTAATTAATACACATATTATTGCTTATAAGGCATCCAAGTATACAAATTATATCCTATCGTGTTTATGTCCAATTCCTAAACTTTAAAAAATGCACATTTTTTTGCTATAGAACTATTTACAGACGTGTAGATATACGCTCTATTGTAGCCACTTAAGAGTCCCTTAATTTACCTAATATCAAATATGATCTTCAATCATATGCATTTTGCTCTTGTATACCAGAAAAATTAGTGGCGTTTCATAAATATACTCTTTAATTGTAATCATTTGATACACTTTATCCAATACTGAGACAAAATTACAAAATCATATTAATATGTACTTTCTTGGTAGCCGTATCTATTTTTCACAATTGTGATTCAGTCTGCGTCTTTTTCAATTTAAACATATTTATGGTAAACATGTTTTTGAAAACTAATGTCAATCTATTGCTATGTTTCTTTATCGTCTACATAAATGTTCGAGAGTATGTAATTCCCATGTCCATTAGCTGATCTTGTATTATATATTTTGCCCCCGCTAAGATTTTATGCTGGATCCATCCCCATGTAATCCTGCATTCTGCTGCCTATTCATGTCAAGGTTTGAGATGGTTTCTCCCAGTGGAGTAGTTTCCCATATCGTGTAACCTTGAGCACTTAAGATGCATTGATCTGCATCTAGATTATGTGCACAATAGTATGCTTGGTATCAACTCTGTCACTACATCTAGTACTCTTTGTAATATTTGTGGTGGGAGCTGCAGACATTTTGCTGTATCTTTTTTTTTTTCTAGCTCAAAAGATATTTTGCTGTATCTAATGCTTAGAAGGAAGTGATAATATCGTTAGCATCATAAACTGCACCATTGCACAATCTGGGATTCGAATGAATCAATTTGGGAATTCTATTTTGAAATTTGAAGAGTAATGCTGGCTTTTTCCCTCCATTTGTCGGAGAAGTACAAATTTCCGTGAGAAATAGTAAAATCGTCCAAAATGTTGAAAAGAAAAATCTAGCCATTAATTTTGTTGTGAACCTAGATGCCTCAGTTGGTTGTCCAACAATATTCACTCATGATTTGATCTTTATGCTGCAATTTCTCCTAGGATGTAGCTAGCTGTTTCAGGATAAGTTTGATGCCTCCAGAATTCTTTCATTCCTATATTTCTGCAGCTGCTAATTACCATTGTTTTGTATTGATCAGCCGTGAAATGTTTAATAAATGGCAAGCTCAGAGATGGTGGGCTGAGAACTGCGACAAAGTCATGGAACTATATAATGTTCAACATTTCAACCGCGAAGCAGTGCCACTTCCAACACCTCCAAGGTCCGAAGATGAGGTGAGTTTCGCACGCTGTAGGTTGGATGCAAAATCAGTCGTCTCTCACATCCTCAATTGAATAGTTTTCCTATAAACAGCCCCCTCCCTCTCTCCGCCCTTCTCAAAAAAAGAAAAAAAGAGAAAAAGCAACTACACCCCTGATTTATGAGAAAAGCAGAAATGGAATATTGACTCTATTCGTTTATCTTTTCCAGGGCTGCCAGAACGAATCTGCAAAGGAGAGCCCTGTGACTCCACCACTGAGTAAAGAATGCCTACCTCGTGATTATCACCGCTCAATGGGGATGGGCTACTCGTCGTCAGATTCACTTGATCACCGCCCGATGCAATCTCGTCATTGCTGCGACTCGGCCGCTCTTGCTGCAACCCCTAAGCTCTCCAGGATCAGTGGGGTAAAAGCAGAGACATCTTCTGTGGACGGTTCTATTTCATCTAGAGAGGCAGATCACTCTGGAGAGCTTTCTATCAGCAATGCCAGTGATGTGGAGACTGAATGGGTTGAACAGGATGAACCAGGAGTTTATATTACTATCAGAGCTTTGCCAGGTGGCACCAGAGAGCTTAGACGAGTTCGTTTCAGGTAATTTATTTGTTGATGAAAGAAAGGGTATCTACCGGTAGATGATTCTATGTTGCTAAGTTTCCTTCGTTTACTTTGTAGGTTTTGTGAGGTTTTCTGAATTGTCGATCCGTTGCACTTACTTTACATTAATTATCAACTTTTTTTTTACATTACATGGTGCTTCTTTTCAAATAGACTGGGCAGAATTTGTGGATCCAGTGCGAGTCATGTTAGATGAATGTAACTGCAAATGCATTGGTGAAATTGATTGAACGGATCTCAACTCATTTCTCTATCTCTGATGCAGTCGGGAGAGGTTTGGAGAAACGCATGCCAGATTATGGTGGGAACAGAACCGAGCGAGGATACAAGAACAGTACTTGTGACTTTAAAGAAGTACGAGATGCGTGCTCCTGGGAAATTGATATGCCCTCTAGAGTCTGTTTATATAAGTCTAGCTTCCTGGCATGTCCTCATCGGTATAGCTTTCACCTTTATTTAACTTTTTCCTCCTATCTAGTTTGTTGTTAAATATGTCCGTGCGTTCTGGATGTGTATGTTTTTTTCCCTTTCCATTTTTTTGGGTATAGATGCTTTGAGGTTCAACGTCCGGGAGATTTGGCGAGAGGTTTTGGGGATTGAAGAAGATTATTGGGAATGTTAATTTAATTACCGATGTCAAATACTAAAATAAACTTCAGTTACGATGATAATTTCACTTCTGACCTCATTCTTGAACTGTAAATGACATACTACGATCATTGAAATTTCATAACATGCGATATTCACTTCTCTCAACTTTTTTTTGTGCCCGCCATGCTTCATTCCAGGAATCTGAACCTTCTACCTTAGATTTCCAACTCAGGGACGCATGAATAGTTCATCTCTCTCTCTCTCTCTCTCTCTCTCTCTCTCTCTCTGGTGTGTATGTGAATAGGGTACAACCTGATCGACCATGTTCAATGTTCAACTTCATTATCTTTGGAAAGGAAACAGAAGATCTACACTCAAAAGAAGATGATGTACTTGTCCGAGGTATATGTCGTGTTCTTGCACGGGATAACATTGTCTTTAGCTCTCCATCATTTTCGTGCCCCTTTGCGTAAAACAAGAGTTTGGTTCGAGAAGCAGGAACATGTACACCACTTTCGTACATGTATTTGGTCCCAATCGACAATGCAACACCTAGGCATATGTCGTTTTTTCTTCTTTCGCCCTTATGAAGATACGAAGCGCTTAAACCTTTTCACTCTTTCGACCGAAAAAAGAAACCTTTTCACTCTGTTTACCTTTCCCAACATTGCGAAAATGACTACAAGTAGATTTTTCGTCGCGTAGACAACTTCGTACAAGCACTTGCCGTCATAGCCTTGCCCGGCATGCCCTAGTCCGCACATTTAGAGGGAGAGATAGAGAGAGCGTGTGTGCGGATGTTTCGGCTTTGAAGAAACGAAATTAATCCACATTTTTCTTAAGCAACGTTGGTCCAGAGATGTACCATGGAGAAGTACATCTTATCCCGACGGTCGATTGCTATGGTCATGGAACGTGCAACATTGAACTCACAGGACCCGATTGCGCCGCGAGCACGAATTCTGCTGGCGAATAGATCTACATAGAAGGTGGCTCGAGCGTCGGGGCTCAGTCCAGCTCCAAGATTGCAAGATTAGGGAGATAGCTCATAGATTCCTGCTCATGGTGCTTCCGCTTGTCTATCTCTCCCCTTTATATATCCTTAATTGGTTTCATAGATAGAAGTTTTTAATTGATTTACCATTACATTGATTGTATATGCTCTAATAGACTCAAGAAGCCTTTCAATTAAACTCAAAAAGTTTCAATCAGTACGCCATTTCACATGACATTAGAGTATAGGATCTCGAGCTGCTCTTTTCACACATCGACTAAATCTACTCGTCTTGCTACCGGAAGTTCCCAACTCCGACAAATCCTCGCCGGTCCCCAGGTTCCGGCGTAGATCGCCCGTCTTTGACCCGACTAGCCATGAGGCCCAAATCAATTTGCTACGCGAAAATCGGTCCATAAGTAAGAAGAAGAAGATTGACGCCCAGAAAGAATAAAAAAAATACAGTGCACGTGATGGGCGAGAGAAACTGGGGATCCATCACGTGCCGAGGGTGGTCCTTCTTAATGGCTTCCACGTTGAGCGGTGAAGAGCTTGTTCATCATGGCCACTCGCGGTGGACCGGAGGATACCATCGAATCCTCACGCATCGTGGCCTTTTAGCGTTTACTTCTTCTTTTTTTTCTTGGAAAAACGACATAAATAGTCACTGAACTATGGCTCAATGTGTAATATGATTCTTAAATCTTTAATTTGTTCAATATAATCTATGAATTGTAACTTCATGTGCAATGTCATCCTTGAATTTTTAAATTGTTCAATGTGGTCTATCGATTTTTGGTACATACTCAATTTAATCCCTGGATTTTATAAAAACGTTCAATATTGTTCCTAAAAGGACAACATTGAACATATTCATATATGAGAGACTAAATTGAACATGTACTAAAAGTTCAGGATTGCATCGAACAAATTAAAAATTCGGGGTCCTCATTGCATATTGGGCCATAGTTCAGGTTAGGGAATTCATTTTCCTAACTTTAAGCATGCAAATTTTCTTTGACTGTAAATGATTTTCCGTTGACTGATCATTTTCAGTAAACCAAACACGTGAAGGTATAGAAAAATATATCGTGAAAAATTCTTTTACTCAAACAAACACATCCTGAAATTGTAACGGCACGAGGAATTGTAGGGATTGGTGCAAGAAAACCTCACATTGATCATATGTAGTCCGATGATATAACGCTAAAACGAAAAGACTAGCGTAGACTAAGAGTCGAAATGGATAATGAGAAAGGCAAATACGAGGCCCGGAAAAATTTAAATTCAGGACGACTTATTCTGATATCATGTAAGATTTTGTAAAATTACTGTCACTTGTTCTAAAAAACTGTTAAATGAAATAGTGATTTGATATTAGAATATTTAAATGTTTTAGCATGCGAAATTTAGAGATTGGTGGAAGAAAACCTCACGTTAACCATAGGTATGGTCCGATGCCATAAAGACTAGGGCATACTTCACTTCACCAACAAGCATTTATTATGACCTAGTTGATTGGATGTTCCTCAAGCGACTATGCAATGAACATAGAAAAAATCTAAGAAAATGAAAGAAAAATCGCAACCCAAAAGAATAAGACCAAGCATGCATCACAAACAAAATGATGGTATGGCTTTCCGACTTGAGAGATGTCCAAAACCCATTTTTTTTCTAAAAGTACCAATTTTTATTCCATCAGCAGCAATTATAGCTAGCTCATTTAAAAATGGCAGATTTCCTTTTTCTTTTCTTTTTTTCTTTTTCCTTCTGAAATTGCTTTTAATTTTTTTTTTTTGTTATTTCTCCAAAAGTCAAATGGATAGGAATGATGAACACAAAGCCCCGGAGGGCCAATTTATGATGATCAATGCATAGGGCAATAGAAGATCTAGGGATCTTTATGAGTTGTTAGCGGTCCATTGGTAAGTCTCCACACTGCCAATGAATGATGGAAAAAATTACTTGAATATCAATGATGAAAACGGGCCATGGAGATCTAAGGCATGAGTCCAAGATAGTCTCCTTTTTAACTGATCCTTAATCCAAAATGTTAAGAGAAATATAGTTTACCGAGCGTATCTCAACTAGCGATCGATCGATGCATACCTCGTTTACAAGTACCGATAATTGAGAATTGATCGAGACACTAACGAAAGCTCCTTACAGAGTAAGTAAAGAATATTTGTATCCTATAGCTAAATACCAATCACAGGAGAAAATCGATGAAGTCGGGCGAGTCGTGATTCGGGTCACGTCTAGATTATTCGCGACATGACATACGATGGTCAACATATACCGCCATCTCAAGAGGTAAAGCAAATGTCGATAGAGGGTACAAAATTTTCTTTTTCAACTTTTTTGCATTCATACTCATTTGAGTTGACAACATCTTGAAAAAGGATTTTCAATATGAACGAGAGACTATTTTCAAAATTAAAGGGACAATCCAAATAACTTTTTCGGTATATTTTCCCTCTTTCTCATTATCAAGGGATACATGGGAACAATTAGAAATCTCTATTATAAGTTTGATAAATATATTAGTTTGACTATACTTGTTCCTAAAGAGAATAATTCTTTTTTTCATGTACTAAACTCGTATATAAGAAAAATAGAGGAAATTCTTTTATTTTCTCATGAAGACGAAGTACGAAAATGGTAATGATGTGCATCTGTCCTTGGTCTACCCCTATGCACGTGGATGAACATATGATGAAGAAAATTCAAATTGCTTTTCAAGCATGGCTTTGAAATCATCCATGGAAGCTCAAATTGATGCCAAAAGGACACCATTATCATTCATACCCTAAGTGCCAAAAATAATTAACACCCCCTTCCTCATCTTTACACGTCACTCGCTCTTTATTTTCTAAATGACCAATTATTAAATTCCCCAGCTGATGTAAATTGACCATAAGCATCACCCAAGAAAAAGAGGAATAGAATTGACCGATATAATCTCCTGACGAAACTGTCCAATTAGTTATAAACTTATTATACGGATATCAATTCGGTCCTAAACTTTCCAGTTTCTCCAATTAAGTTTCGAGCCTTCATGCAAGATTCCAGTGCAGTCCCTCCGACCAATTTTCGTTGGAATTCGCAGAGGCGGCGGTCTAGTCATCGCCAGCCATCCTGCGCGTCACGCTGCCCGTTGAAACTCATGATACACTGTCATGGTCCATGCGTGGGAATATTTTTGTGTAGATGGAAGGATGCAGTGGTTGGGATTGCGATGGTACGATGTCTACCAATATGAACGTGTGGGTGTCTGTGTCCAATGTTAAAAGCTATGGTGGGCTGTTGGAGAGATTGCATTCTCACGAGTGCGTGCGGGACATTAAGGCCTTGTTCATTGGTGGGATTTGACGTTGATGATCGATGTTGGAGAGAATTCTTGCTTTTTTTTGGAGGGGGAGAAGATGGGTCGAGGCCTTGTCACTTAATGCTCATCTACTATGATCCTGGGTCCCTAGATTGGTCACTTCTTGATCGGAATGGAATCCCAAAAGGTCATACATTCAATCCCCATCAAGCCTCATCGATACAATCTCGCACAAAATTAGTGTAAGATACGCCGTACATAAGTTGAATTAAAATACCAAATTCAAAAGATTAAACACGCATGCGCACGTCCCCGAAAGCAAAAGCACGAAACTAGAGCCCAAGTGAAGCTGAAAACGCTTCACGTCTCGAAGCTTGGCTACCTTCCCTACTACAACATCACCGTCTCGGGCGCCGATCGGCACCGACTTATGTAACCTTCTTCGAGCGAATCCGCAGCATAGCGAACGAAACGTGTAAAGGCACAAAGTTCAAAACCTAAGACCAAAACACACAACGCACACACACACACAAAGAGGGTGCACACATGCGGGTCGTAAAGGGCAGTTCCACACAGTGTGCCCCCAAGAAAAGACGAATACAAGATCGGAGATGGGCGAAGCACATTTCAATCTCGCACGGACACTTTGCACGATCGATGCTGTCGGGCGTTCCATGTTCGAGAAAAGTAAACTATAATTCTAGTGTTCTTTCGTGAGCTTGAAGGGAAGAGAGACATGAACAGAGGGGAGAGAGAGAGAGAGAGAGATAAGAGATGAGCGTGAGAGAGAGAGAGAGGAAAAGGGCACGAGATAAAGAGCGTTATAAATCGACCCGCACGTTGCTTTGCCTTTTTCTCGACGTTTGTGGTTTCCATAAGCTTTGTTAAGGATTCTTGCTTTGATTAATCGCGCTTTATCATCCCCCTCCCCTTCTTTAATCTTTTGCATACCGACATTCCCTTGTCCTAATCCTCTTCTTAGACTCCAAATCAAATCTCACGTCACTCGTTTTATTCTATGGTACCAATTCATTCCAATCTCGCCCTCTAAAAAGCTTGGGGAGCCACGAGTGCAATGATTGCCCCCTCTCATACGAGCACCGCCATCCACGGTATCTGTCTCTCGCTTTCTATCTCGAACGATGGTCTCCTTCGAGTATGATTTTCATCTTGATCTTGTTCAAGATTAAGGAAAGAGAGGGCAAGAAAAAAGGAGGGGAAGAAATCGTTTGCGTCAAAGATGAACCAGCACGTAATTATCACTAATCTGACCCCCCCCCCCCCCCCCTACGTGACATTTGCATTTCGAAGGAAGGAAGGAAGAAGCTCATGGAGAATGGCGTGTGGGTTTGAGGAATTGGGATGATGCTGCTCATTTTGAGAGAGAGAATAATCTCTCGAGCTCGCGAAATTTGTAGAATTGTAGGGCTTAATCGAGAAACAGAAAGCGACGGGCACAATTAGCGATAACTCGACTAGCATAATGCATCGTCAACGAGGTTAGTTTGGTGATAAAGAGGTCACCTATCTTCCCGAGGTCACGTTGCGAGCGAACCCCTCAACGGCTCATGCTGCATCGACCGGCTGCACCTTCGTGGAGAGGTTTTCCGGCCGCTTGGCATCTCGGTAGGGCTGCGGCGACGAGCTCGCCAACCTCGAACTTTCGGGTCACAAACCCTACGAATATCCATAATCGAAACCGGCATTACATAACGGGTGCAGGGCTCTTACGGCAGCATCCATAAAGGGTGGCCACACCCATCCTGATCTTCCACGTACTTCCAATGGATCCCAAGACGAGCGCAAAAGCCACATGCTTTTCGATACACGATAAGCATATGTTCTCGCTTTGGCATCCTAGGCATGTGAATCCAAGAGGGGGTACGTACGTGCGTGCGATCCATTCGACAAGGTCAAGCAAAACACAGTCAACAACCACATGTTGCGCAATTAATATTTCCTAGGGTAAGATCGACGTAAACACCTAAGTCCAATTTAAATACAGAAAAATTAATGTGCACTAAAGTTTCTCTCGATTCTAACATCGAAAGAAGCAAAAAAAAAACTCGAACCAGCCGCATCATTTGACCCCTCCTCCTCCTCTCGACCCAGATTCAAATAAAGAGACTGTTCACACAATTGATCCCAAGTTCGGAGATATTTCGTTCATGCAATTATAAATTAAATTTAGAGGAAAGAATGTGTCCCTTGCCTTCTAATCCTAGGGTTTAGCTTTTGGGAAAGTGCTTAGCTTTTTGAGTGTATGGTCGAGCATTTCCCCTACATTTCAACAGTAATTGGACCAACATCCGTACTTCGTAATGTCAGAAGCATATGATCTACTTTCGAATGAAGAATATTGCCCATAATATATCCCTTCTTCTGTCTATATGCCAAACCGTGAAATCACGAACAAAAGTCATCAAAAACATACCGGTACATCTGTGACAAATTTACTCAAAACTAATTTTTTTACTATGAAAAACTTCAAACTGAAACACATATGACAAATTTACCTTCCGTTAAATTGGATTAATATCACGAAAAATCACAAACCGGTACACTTGAAACTGGTACACCTTTCAACTGCCTCATGTCATCCAACTCAAAAATTTGAAGGTGAAATTTAACGGAAACTAACGGAGGGTATAATTGTCACAAATATACCAGTTTGGAGTTTTTCGTGATATTAACCCCATATGTAACTAGATTGCTTGTATGATCATCGCTTTGTCAGGCTTGCTTAATCGGAGATTACGGTAATACATTTTGGTGAGCAGAATTGCATATCGTCTTCTTTTCATTTAGAGGAAAAAGAGATGATCTCGTGCCAAATGTTCTTCAATTATCGAAAGTCAAATCACTAAGTAATATTTACTCAAGCTTAATAGACGGTACCGTGATAATTTGGTTTGATGGATTAACTTGTGCAATACTTTACCAAAAGTATAGTTCTTTGTATATTTTAATTATGAAAAAGAATTTTTTCATTTGAAAAAAACGTAAAAGGTATGGCTAGATTCATCAGTATCAAATCTTCCAGAGTATAATGCAATCACCTTCCTATACTATCCGCTAAAATAAGAATCATCTTGTTAAAATGTGCCTATGAAATACTCGTTAAATAACCAAATATCGTGACATCGAATATACCAACTTTTCTCGTGATATACACAATCGATATTTTATAGATTGAATATATTTAACAAGTGTCTCGAGAACTCTCGTTAATGTTAGCAAGACCTCGATAAGATAAATGCATCGAAAGAACAAAAGACCAAAAATAAACTTATTTACTTATAAATAGAGATAAATGCATCAAAAGTTCCAAAAATTGTCACAAAAGTGTAATTGAGTCTTAAAACTTTCTAAAAGTGCAATTAAGTCCTAAAACTTGTTATGAAAGTGCAAATTTTTTTTTTTTGATTACCCAGGGAACCCCCGCACGGCCGACAGCCGGGAGGTAAATCTTGGGGGTGACACGTGCTAGCCACCACACACGTGCACAGGTTAAATCACCCTGCGGCACCCGGGATTCGAACACTCAACCTTTTGAGAGAGGAATAGTGCGCGCTCCAGCAGCGCCACCCAGGCGGGTGGTTATGAAAGTGCAATTGAGTCTTAAAACTTTCTAAAATTGCAATTAAGTTTTAAAACTCGTCAAATTAGTTTAGTTAAGTCATGTCACTAGTTTTAGGACTTAATTACACTTTTTGAAAATTTTAAGACTCGATTGCACTTTCATGACAAGTTTTATGATTTAATTGCACTTTTTGGAAATTTTGGAACTCAATTACACTTTCGTGACAAATTTTATGATTTGATTGCACTTTTTGAAAGTTTTAGTATTCAACTGCACTTTGTAACAATTTTTTAGACTTCTGATGTACTTACCCCTAACAAATACGAGAAAGTGATATGTTCATTAAATATCCTAAAACTTGCAAAAAATGCAATCAAGTTCTTAAACTTGTCAAACTGGTTTAATCGAGTTCTATAATTAACACTATTCAATTTGACTAATAAAAAATACTGATGTGGCTATTATTATTATTATTATTATCATTATTATCATTATTATTATTATATTTAAAAATAAGCTAAAATTATTAAAAAAAATGAAGGAGGAGGAGGACAGGAAGGGAGGGGCCCTCCCTGCCATTGTCCTGCCATCGTCGAGAGGGGCCGGTGAGGGGTCGCAGCCCTCCCCCAAACCCAACGAGGGTTGCCAGCCCTCGCCTAGACCTGGCGGAGAGGTTGCAGGCCCCTAGCCGGGGCCGGCAACCCCCGCCGGCTGTCCCCTCCCGGCGATGGCGGGGCGGTAGCGGCGAGGGCTTACAGCCTTCCACCCCTGTTTTCCTCCTTCCGTTTTTTATATTTTTTATTAAGCTTATTTTTTAAATTTGATTTAAATAAAATTAGTATTAAAAGTTAAATATGGGCTAAAACAACGTCATTTTAGTCTTGTGTTTCATACTTTAGCCACGTTACCATCATATAAGAGAGAGAAAATATTAAAATAAGTCACGTCAATATTTTTCGTTAGTAAGTTTAACGGTATAAAGTTTAGAACTCGATTAAATCAATCTGACAAGTTTTAAGACTTGATTGTACTCTTTGCAAGTTTTAGAATTTAATTGTACTCTCGTGATAAGTTTTAGAATTTATAAGGAACATGATCCTCGGAGAAATTACGAAGGAAAATAGTACACAGTGGGTACAGGTACAATAAAATAGTAAGAATGCCATGTCACCGGACGCCAACCTGGCAACTCTTCCAGCTCGGACATTCTCGCTCTCCTCCTTCGCTCCTCCCCATTATAAGAACCCGACGAAGAGAGAGATTTCTGAGTCTCTCTCTCTCTATCTCTAAGCCGCCATGGGCGTGGCTTAAGCTCTCATTACTCTCTCTCTCTCTCTCCACCTCGAACACAGAGCACAGCGACTGGGAGGCGTCTCTGAAACTTTTGCTTTGTGTTTCGTACTCGCATTCCCATAGCCCCTCTAGTAAGAGAAACAAAAGCAAAGCATTTTCAGAGAGTGACTCTCTCTCTCTCTGTCTCTGCGCATCACTTCACTCGTTCTCTCTCCTCCATGATCAATCACCCCCTTTGCTTTTCTCTCTCTCTCTCTCTCTCCCTCTCTCAAGCAGCAGCCTTTTGACACTCTCTCAGCAGACAACTAAAGATAGCCCAAATCATTGAATCCCCAAATCCCACTCTCCCCCTCCCCTTCCCCCTTCCCTTCTCTCTCTCTCTCTCTCTCTCTCTCTCTCTCTGTGTCACCAACCCCAGTTCGCTCCGCTTCAGCTCCTCCTATATGAGCCATGGATCCCTGTGACGGATCCCGCCGCGCCCGCCACCGCGACCGAAGCGACCACCACCACCACCACCCCTCCTTCTCCTCCACCCTCCTCGACGCCATCTACCGCTCCATCGACGGCGACTCTCCCCCCGACCACCCCATGGTCATCTACGCCGACGCCGCCGCCGCCAGGGCCAAGCAAGGTGACCCCGCCGCCGGCTTCCGGCGGGACTTCCTGATCGAGAAGTGGGTGGCGGCGGAGGAGGAGAAGAAGACGAAGAAGATGGGAGGGAGCGACGAGAGGGAGGCGGCTTACCGCGGCTCGAGGGTCGGCGACTGGAACCGCTCCATGGTCTTGACGAACTCCAGCTCCAGCTCCTCCGACTCCAGCTCCAGATCGGGAGGAGGGTTCTCGTCGTCCGAGTCGGAGTCCAGAGCGCGGTACTCCGCCTCCTGCTACTCCGTGCGGAGGCCGAAGCCGAAGCCGGCCCCGATTCGCACCAGCGTCTCGGACCGGGCGGCCTCCGCGTTCGACCGCGGCCACGTCGAGCCGAGGAAGAGCCACCACCACGCGCCGCAGTCTCAGAGGCCGAGCAGTAATAAGCACGAAGGGCTCGGCTTCGTGAAGACGAAGTCCAAGGCGCTGAAGATCTACGGCGACCTCAAGAAGGCCAACAACAAGCTCAAGCAGCCGATCTCCCCGGGTGCTCGCCTCGCCAGCTTCCTCAACTCGATCTTCACCGTGGGGAGCCCCAAGAAGGCGAAGATCGTCGCGAGCTCGGTCGACGGAGACCAGTCGGCGTGCTCCTCCGCTTCCTCGGTCTCGCGGTCGTGCCTGAGCAACACGCCCTCGTCGCGAAGCAAGCCGACGAGCGTCGTCAGCGGCGGCGGCGGCCCAAAGCAGCGGTCGGTGAGGTTCTACCCGGTGATCAGAGTCATCGTCGACGAGCCTGGCAGACAAAGCAAGGACCTGAAGATGGCGGCGGAGATCTCGCCGGCGAAGGCGGAATTCAACAAGAAGTCCGGAGTAGGCGACGACAAACGGAGGATCGCGGAGGCGGCGAGGGAGATGCTGAGGAGCTATCAGAAGAAGAAGGAGAGCTACGACGCGAGAGTCGACGACAACGACGAGGACGAAGGCGGCGGCGGCGGCGATGACGACGACGACGCGGCGAGCTGCGCGAGTTCGGATTTGTTCGAATTGGACAATCTGGCGTCGATCGGGTGTGATCAGCTGAGGTATAGAGAGGAATTGCCGGTGTACGAAACCACTAATCTTGACACTAATCGAGCCATTGCCAGTGGTTTAGTTCTGTAATTCATGCAAAAAAAAAAAACAGAGAAAAAAACCCAAAAAAAAAGACAAAAAAATATTATATATATAAACTAATGGTGTGGGGGGGGTTTACGTCAAGGCAATAAGATTGTTCTCTTTGCGTCTTTTGAATTTTAATTTCTAGTGTGCTCTTCGGTAATATATTTCGAATTATTATCCGACGGATCGATGGTATCGAACGAGACATGTGTTTGCAGTCAGTGAATTACCTCAATTTTTCTCGTATATCAGTCATAATCAATGACGGGTAATTATTTCTTTGTGTATCGTGAAATCCCAAATAGAAATTCACGCCATAATTTTATTTTGATGCTTTGAGGATAGATGATATTAATTAGAAGTGAGGAAGGGGAGGATGTTGAGAAGAGGGTGGAGAGAGCGTTTGCCATGGAGGGAAAGAAAAGGAATTCTTTTTATTTTTCATTTATTTTGGTTAATTCTTGAGGAGAATGACTATTTTTTCCCAGTTTCTAGATCCACGTTCACACGCGAGAATGGGGAAAAAGGTCGAAGAAATTTATAAAAAAAAAAAGGGAAAAATGAAAGGGGATGAAGTAAAGGTGAAGATGGTGGTATAGTAAAGGAGGCAGATCTTCCACTCTCTCATCATTCATGAGAATACAAACAAAAGTAAAACTCTCTCTCTCTCTCTCTCCTCTCTCTCATCCAATTGCATGAAAAATGTAAATTAGATTATTTTGCACGATAATTCCACAACTGATCACAAGATAAACTAGGATCAATCATAAAAGAAAATGGATTTGCATGTTAAACTAGAGATATCATTATCTTTTAGATTGAAAAGAGCTTGCTTAAACTGTATAAGCGTTAATTTATCGTACCAACAAGTATCGACTCTCTGATAACAATAATTACAAAAAAAATAGTAATCAGTACTGATGAATTTTCTTTACATTTCATCGAGCTTTTCATTTTTAATTTTATGTTTCGACAAGTTTTCCTCGATCGTTGGAAAGTGGTAGTCTCCTCCAAACGCGGTAGAAATTTTGAGCCGAGGCATTCGACATTGTCATCGCAATTGAATAGTGTTGGAGATACATAAGACCTCGATATCGACCTATAAAGTCATGTAGTACATATTGGTCGAACGCTTGTTAAAAGCAAACTTACAGTTTGCTACATTACTTTGTAAGTAACACACATTAGTAAAATCAAACTTGTGCAATCTTTAGTCATTAGTACAACTCTTGAGGTAATCATAATGGATTAACGGGGGGGAAAAAGATGGCAAAGGCATCAAAAGGAACATAATGCATGGTCTCAAAAGCTTGGGACAGAAAATCTAAGGTTAGATATCTTTTCTAAGCTTGGGCGTCTTCGAGGGCTAAAAACGACAACATGTTTTGCCAATGTAAATCTCGCATGATGAACCCTTTTGTCCCCCCCAATATAATTGCCTTTCTAACTACCCCCCCCTTCCCCAATTAACACCAAACACGGCCATTAGATTTTATCTTTAGAAAGTGAGTGATTACTTGCATGTCATCTTGACGAGCATGCATGCTTTGTCATCTTCACACCAAACCAGCGTGCGCGCCCGCACATGCACACAATTTGCCATGCTCGAGCTAAGTTCGAGCTAGGGTTTAGTGGTCCATGCATCACTAATGTATAAAGCATACGCATCGCTCGCGAACCGTCGGCGTGAAATTTTTCGGGGAAGTTTAGGACTGTATCGCAAAATTTCAGGACTCGATCGGCAAAATTGGCAAGTTTAGGACTGAATCGGCATCCGTGCAATAAGTTTATGATTGATTGGGTAATTCTCCCGAAATTTCTCTCATGATCAGTTAATATTTACATCAACATACATCGCGATCCGGGGAATCGATTGACGACCCACGAAACATCAATGTGAATAGAAACGTTCGGAACCATTAACAAATTCATAGGTTATCCGTGGATTCGATAGTCTTTTACCAAGAGGGAAATGGAACATATGGTATCTTGAAAATAGTATATAGATGGATGCTTTTATGGCGTGTAGGCAGGCTTTTAAATGCGATGGCCTCCTTTGGCGAACCCTAACTAGATCCCTCGTGCTTTATGACTTAGCATCTCAACATAAACAGTTCCCTCCTCCCCCCCCCAAAGATTCTCGAGGAAAAGAATGGAATTCGAAAAAGTTTGATTAATGTGCCGAGCTCAACTTTCAGTTTAAATTATCTCTTTGTCTAATCAAAAGATGGAGGCTACAAAAAGTCTAGGGGGAGGATCGGCTTTGGAAGGACCACGAGATCATAACAGTGCGATCTCCTAAATTAAGTTATATGGCTATCATGGCATTGGCTTAAGCTTGAGGATGTAAGGAAAAAAGGAAAAGGCTAAGCCTACATGTCCGATGGTCAAAAGGTGCGTCGATAGGCTCAATTGGGCTACGCATCGGAAAGAATTTCGGTGATGGGGGTCCTCGCATTAGTTTTATGTGTAGGGATGAAGATACCGGGAAATGAAGCATGGGTGATCATGCAAAGGCGCAATTCGCAATGATCGGCTTGGAAAAAGATTGGCTTATATGTAAAGGCATGTATGCGCTTATAAACATATGCGTCGTTGAACAGGATCATAATCGGTATCTTGAGTGACGGTGATACTCTTACAAACATAGATAAATTTAGTACGGCGACACATTTGTTTAAATGCCCCGTTTCATAATTTGCAATCTGCCTCATCATTCGATAAATCGATCATAATGTACCCGACATTACTCCTTTTTATATATGGTTATGCTTATCCATGTGTACAGCGACCAAATCACTACAATGGGGAAAAGGGAATTAAGTGAAACTTGAAAGGCAAATCTAGTTTATAGCCCCTACTTGCTTTCTTTTTGCTTTTTTTTTTTTTGTGAGATCTTATTTCGCAATTGGGGTTAGTATGAGTGGAAAAGTTGACTTGGCTGTCGCTAGATTAATGGGTCAAGTTAGGCGTAAGATCACCTTTTCTAGGAGCAGAACAAAACCTTTTTCATAATTACTCAATTGCCTTAGCTAATATCCTTACTTGGCAGTCCCATCACCTCCAACAACATGACACTGACGTTATATTCCATCAGATTAGTGATACTATACGTGCAAGCCCGTATATCATTAAACAAAAAAGAAAACCAAAACCAAAACCAAAACCAAAAAGAACCAAGAAAAATTAGTTGAATAGTTTAATCGTAATTGCAAAATGTTTTATATTCAAATCGCAACGCATCTCGTTCGTATTAACTTTATAGGGATTGCTCCCTAAATCCTGTAGATTGAGTCTTAATCAATGCACAAGATAAGGCTTCTGTATAGCCAAATCAAATACCAGATCGCACTTAATACTCGGAGAAATGTGATCGACAATGGTCACGAGTGGCAAAAGATGTTATGACACGGGGGCGATGATGCAATGGCCATGGGTCTTCAAACCCCAATGCCACGCTGTGATATCATTAATCATGACCTTACTCTATTCTTAACGGGATTCAAAATTCCAAATACAACTTGAATGTCTGGTTAAGTAGTCAAGGGTTCGATTCGAATGAGAATTAGAGCATGCATCACTTGGGGTAACCGTGGAAGTTAGGTCCGCTAGTTTTACATACCGAGTCTCGATGCGTCGCGCGACGACGGTTGTACGCACAACTATCCAGCCCGAATACTTTGATACCCGTTTCTTGTAGCAAAGAAAGGGCATTCAATGCATGATTGAACCGTTGCATAATGCCAACTGCGCCACACGAGGACGTTCCACTAAATTTAAGTAAGTATGAACGGTTGCTGTCGCACGCACTATAGCACTTGGCCAGAAGCTTTGTAGTACCATGCGATGTTGTCAGTCACCAACCATGCACGAGTCACTGGCGCGAAAGTGCATGAGCACATTACATGGAAATTAGCTCATTAATGCGATCTTGCTGCGTGCAAAAATGTGGACGTTTCGTTTCACTAGTAGGTCCGATGTTTGTCTCGGACCCGGGGGTCCGGCGCTCGACCACACATGGCTCGGTCCTTGGCTCGACCCCCTTAATGGATGTCTGCCTATTGGGGCGCACGGTGGGTCGTCGGTCGCTTTAGGGGGAAATAGATCGTGGCCTCATATTTTGCACTTTGGTTTTGAGATGATATGTGTCGTTAATATTGCTTTGTTGGCTTCTCAAAGCAATATTATTTAATAGTATCTTCGTGTTTTTTTTAAATTATTTTGGGAGAAAAAATAGTTAATTTTTCTTTTATATTTCGCTAACGCGAGAAATGCAATTATTTGCAAAGATTTTTATTTGATTTGTATAGCTTTTGGACAACAAGGGTGCGTTAGATCTAGTTGTTCTCGACAACATGTATGTGCATCCAAGACGTATTCGATAAGCACATGCATACATTCATACACGTACGCTAGACATGCACAACTCTGCCGGGAAGCCAAACGCACTTGTGAACGTGCCTTTAAAAAAAAAAATACTTCTTGTACAAGTATTCGGATAATTGACTCGATTAAACACTCGTAGATGCATGCAGACAGTCACATCCACAAGTATTGAGCGAAAGTTACATTTAGAGTGTTTGAGAATCTCGTGAAATCATAATATCGAGTGGTCATATTGTGTATTATATTCATAACGTGGAAAAAGCAAAGTCATTCACTGCTAATATAGTAATTATGTACATGATAAAAGGATTTATCTCGCATACATTGATAGTGAAAATTAAAAAAATGAGAAGTGTTTATGTGATTGTCCGTGATCTACTGTTAGAAAAATAAAATAATGATTAGAAATTATTGTGGGATTCACTCTTTCAAGAATTTGTAACCCACGATATGCTGTTATTCTAACAGTTGCCCTAAGACTGTTATACTAACAAAACCCTAAATAAATTCCTCCACAAGCGGCTCCTGACATTGGTGAGAGAACGTCGAGGGGTGTATATCCATTAATTATTCTAAAATAATATCTTTTTTATGGATATTGAAGCAGGATCGATCATGTTGAATGATATGCAAAGGTAATCGCTGTATAATGTACTTTTTCGAATGAAATGCGATCGGCTTGTCAAAGGATGAAAATATTTCGTGTGACGGTCACATTACATAGTGACAACGCGTGAAAAAAATCGATCGACGGGGAATAGTATCGAACTTCAATTTCAAAAACTGTAACGCACCACAACTGTGGTCGATACGTCGAGAAGAAAGAGTGCAGAGGAGGCACAGTGCTGCATCGAACTAAG